ACCAAGCGCATGCTGTCATCCACACTAGAATTTGATACAGTAAAATAAAATCCTAGCCAAGCCTGCCTTGATGTCGTCTCTCCGACGAATATTGAGTGATAATTAGAGAACAATGAAAACAGTTGACAGTTCTAAATGACACTCCTAGATTGCTAGGAAACTGGTATATTTGCAACGTGGCATATATTAAAATGACCTAGTTACTGTGAAAACAGTTACCTATATGAACTTCCCTAACATTTTTTCTGTAGATGCTCTTATTTTTTTATGTATACGTCATAACAAGCTAACAATTATATTATTACATAAATACCTGTTTGAAAGAATATTTCAATCTCTCAGATCTGAAAACATTCTGAAAATAATTTTTATATGAGTCATACACGATTCTTTCGAACACAAAAGTAACGAAATATTTCATCTGTAACCAAGACTGCGTGAAAGAAAAAAATTAAATTTAATGGCTTATTTTCATAAATATTGCGTTGATGAAAATCATTATTTGAAATATGTGGTTTCCTTTTTTTGGAAGTTCCTTGTCCTTCAAGTTGAAATATCAGACCCCATTCTAAAGGCCCACCATTTGAAGCGAATTCGACGTGACTTCAATCTCACAATGGAACCAAAACAAATACCTTGCCCAAACACCAGAACTACAATACTTTTCTTCTAGACTAATGTCTGCTTCATCTCCTGAAGACGCCGTCTTGGTTGTGTTTTGCAGATCTCTTGTGAGAATTGTGCTTATTTTAGATTCTTTATATGCCAGAGGTTCCGGTTCTACTTTTTATTTCAAAATGAAAGATATTTTATGGAATAATTTGGTCCCTAACTAGCCAAAATTGTGCTGCTGCTGAAAAAGAATGAGCTGCTAACGTAATTAATTGAGAAATCATTTAATTTGTGTAATGAAAACAGCATATCTGTTACAACAACAATTATATGACTACCAGAACTTTGAGTTGTTCTGAAAACGAATCTATCATATTCACCAATATATTATTTTTTAATGTGAAACTGTTGTTTTTCTAATTTTAACAATTTTCAAAAGTGTCGTAAATGTCAAAATATCTTACTTTTCGCAACCAGCTATGATGTTTGATTCTTCGAAATTGATTACGAAAACTTAATCGTTCACATACTTTTTTACAGTTTTTCGGGTATGATAGACTATAAAGCGTTTTATGTCGCCATTTCTATGTCGAGCTGACAAGCGATATGTTGAAGATACTAGATAATTCGAAAAAATTCATGAAATCGACAATTTCATCATTTGAAAAATAATATTATATGATGATTATGTGTTACTATTTGTATTGTTTGTACATTGAATAGAACTGACCGATACTTGATGAAAGTCCATATCAAAAACTAATTAATACAGTTTATTATATAATTTTCACTATAAATAGTGAAAATCATATAACATTTTACTTATGTTTAACCCATTTATTCATTTCAATCTCAGATCACAATAATCTGTTTATCATCACAAATTAGCATTTTTAATTAATAAAACAGTTTTATTCAACTTGCCCCGTTTGATTGTTTAGTTCTGATAACAAAACAATTCAATAAATTCTGCATCTTTGTAAATCCAAGATGGCCGCAGCTACAAAATGGCGGATGGCATATTGTTTCACAACTACCGGAATATGGGTATCAAATGACAGGGCGTGACTAGTAAAATGATAGTACACTTCTGAAAAGATGCAAATGCAAGATGGCCTCAGCTACAGAATAGCGGATTAAATATATTTTCACAACAACAGGGCTTGACTAGTAAAATAATAGTACACTTTGAAAAAGATGCGAATTCTAAATGGTTGCAGCTACAAAATGGCGGATTACATAATTTTTCACAACATATGGATATCAAATCACACGGCTTGACTAGTAGAAAGCACTCTTTGAAAAAGATACGAATTCAAGATGGCCGCAGCTGCAGAATGTCGGAATAATAGTTATTATACAAAGGAAAAAAGTATTAGATTTAAACTCGAGGTTGTGTTGTCTCGCGACGCAAAGCGGAGGGAAACAAAAAACCGAGAGCTAAAATCTAATATTTTTCTCGTGTATAATACACAATTTTTTTCTGTGACGGGAAAAACGACGATTTAATATTGAAAAAACATATTATTTCAATATGTTAAAGTCAGAAAATTATCGATGTGAAATTTAAATGTTTAAACAGGTAGGCTGTTGTTGTTCTAGCGTTGCTAGAAAACCAATCAATAGAAAATCAAATATCTGTCAATTCAATTCTGTGATTTGATTTAAAAATTGCGAACTGAGTGGTCAGTAGTTATTTTGAAAAATGTCTAATTCCGAGTTTTCTCTGACTACACCGGAGTCCAGCTAAATCGCGGAAAATTTATAAAACCGCGTATTCAAGATTCATGGAATGAAAGATGACAAAGACATGTAGTTCTTTCTCGGAGACGGTGTTATTGGCTTATTTTTCGGAACTGGCACAACAACAAAAGCCATCAACAATGAGGTCGAATTATTCAATGATTAAAAGTATGTTACAATCCAATAATAATGTAGACATTTCAAAATATTTCAAACTAATTACATTTCTGAAACAAAATGGAAAAGGTTACACGCCCAAAAAAGCTGCGATATTTACGAGTACAAATATTATAGTGACTTTTTAAATAATGTTCCCGATGAAGTTTATTTAATGGCCAAGGTTGTTGTTGTATTTGGTATTGCAGGAGCTTGTCGAGTTTGTGAAATCAGCCAGGTAACATTAGATGATTTAGAAGATTCGGGAACGTTATTTATTGTGAAACTCAAGCAAACAAAGAATGATGTAAACAGGAGATTTGTAGTAACTGAAGAATATATTAAACTTTACCGAATGTACATAACCCTTCGTCCAGCAGCAGCAAAGGATCGCCGCCTGTTTAATGCATATCGCAATGGAAAATGTATCAATCAGGTTGTGGGTAGCAATCAGTTTTATATGGTACCTGAAGCAGTGGCTAAGTTTCTTCAACTTGAAAATGCCAATTCATATAAAGGTCATTCATTTCGAAGATCGTCTTCTACACTTTTAGTTGAATCTGGGGGAGACTTGATGACACTAAAAAACATGGCAGTTGAAAGTCATCAACGGTCGCTGAAGGGTACGTTGATGAATCGGTAGCACACAGGACAGAAATAGCTAATAAAGTGTTTAGAACGTTTGGCAGTGCTGAAATCAAACCCACATCCTATTTGCGACCAGGTACAATCAACGGCAGTTGTGTCCATGGCAGAAAAAAATATAATTTCAACACAAGAAAATTCGACTGTTGTACCGAATAGTTCAAGGAACATATCATTCATGCAATGCACATTTAATAATTGTACTTTTGATATAAAGGAAATGTAACTTTTGTATAAGAAAATATTCTAAAATTAAATTT